ATGTTTCAGTAGCTGACTTGAAAGACATCTCACTTTATCATCCCAGCCTGCAGTGAACCTGTGAGAAATCACTGGGAGGAGCTGTGAATGACAGTCAGACTGCAGGCTATTTGTGCTGTATGTAGTTTGTAAAGTTTGTGCTGTGTATTTCATGAGCTGCATGTGTTGGCATCTGCTATTTGTGCCTTTGTGAAACAGGTGTGCATACACAGGCATGCACTTAATGTTGACTGTCTATGTGTCTATTTGTATGTACGTGTATTACCATGTTTTACGCAGCTCTGAGCTCAGTGCTGATTGGAGGATAGGCTCTGACTGTGTGCTAGTCATCTAGGGTATCCCTACAAATCAGCCAATCACAGTCTGTTGCCATGCAAGCGCTCATTCATAGAGAAGTCAGCATGCACGAGCCACAATACTGTTACACAGCACCGTAAAAACAAGCTGCTTCACAATTTTGAATTTTAAAATAGTACAAGGGCCATTAAAAAGTCTTTATATTGTTAATAGTTAAAGCAATGATAGGCCTACTAAGTGTTTGAATACTATAAGACGTATTATTTAAATGAAATATTATTTAAATAAGTATGTTTAAATACTTTACAGCTTTCCAGATATGAAGTTTCAGTTTCAAAAGCGTCTGACTTGCATACTAACAGTAATAACGAAACGTTTTTCCTTTTAGTTAGGTTTAGAGCTAATCATTTGTTCATTCCGTAACAGAGCCGGCTGCCTGTAAAACAAGTTAAGCTGAACATGACAGTAACGTCCACTCACTCATAACTGCGTCTGTTCACCGCGCCCTCAGTTGCTTAAGACCTTTTATTACTTGCAGGCAGGGTTTGAAATTAAATTAACGCTGTCAAATCACTAGACAATTTGGCGGGTTACTTTTCGTAAGCTATGTTCACTCATTAATTTCTTGGGGAAGTTCATGCAAGCCAAATCTGCGCAGGTTTAGCGCAAATACTGAACTCGTGAGACATCATGACATTATATCGAGTATATTGCAAAAAAACAAACAAAACACAACTACAGAGTGCACACATAAGCGACTAAGTTACGCGTTTAGAGTGCGTTCTTTCACTGCAGGATTCAGTCTATTAATATGCATTAAGAATGATCAAATAATTCAAGATAAGGGGGCAGATATTACTATATTCATATAGTTAATCAATATGACAGGAAGAGTGCCTTTTTTTCCTAAAAAAAAAAATCAGCATGGTTACAAATGTGATATTGATTTTATACAACAGTTAAATAATCAATACTTTTATATCAAGACTTACGTTTTAGACGCCATATTGGCTGTTTTTGCGCTATTTCGCCAACAAAAAAAATATTCCAAACACAGCCACAGCACTGTTTTGCGTCTCTGAGCAACATGAAGTTGTTTCGTTCCTGAATGAATCAACCGTTTAAATGATTCGGTTCAATCGCAATGACTCACTTAACAGTGACTTGCTGCCACCTACTGGCGGTTTTAATTTCACATTTAAAGTATCGTCATTTTTTAAAGGGATCATATGACATTGATCAAAAGAACATTATTTTGTGTATTTGGTGTAATGCAATGTGTTTATGCGGTTTAAGGTTAAAAAAACACATTATTTTCCACATACACTCTTAAAAATAAAGGTGCTTCACAATAGTTTAATAGTTTAGTCTTCAGAAGAACCTTTTTGTCTGAATGGTTCCATAAAGAACCCTTAATATCTGAAGAACCTTTCTGTTTCACAAAAGGCTCTTTGTGGCGAAAGAAGGTTCTTCAGATTATAAAAAGGTAAGAAAGAGATGGTTCTTTAAAGAACCTTTGACTGAATGGTTCTTTGTGGAACCAAAAATGGTTCTTCTATGGCAGGGGTGGCGAACGTCGGTCCTGGAGAGCCACAGCCCCGCAGAGTTTTGCTTCAACCCTAATCAAACATGCCTGAACAAGCTAATCAAGGTCTGAACGGTTATTAGGAAGCTCCAGGCAGGTGAGTTTTAATTAGGGTTGGAGCTGAACTCTGCAGGACTGTGGCTCTCCAGGACCGGAGTTCGCCACCCCTGTTCTATGGCATCGCTGTGAAGAACCTTTTGAAGCACCTTTCTTTTTAAGAGTGTAATGTACATTATTGTTGCTCCTCTATGCCCCGCCTTTCTGAAACCCGTCGATTTTTACAAAGCCCATCATTCGAAAAGCGATGTGTGCGCTGATTGGCCAGCTATCCAGTGCGTTGTGAATAAAACCCATTACAAACGAGGCATTTGTTGCATCCAGTGGGGACATAATTACTGATTATAATGACTTATACCTTTTTTTTACGCGTTGCGTTGCATCGCGCAGCGTAAACAAAACCATGTCTGCATTCGTGATCGGAGAAACGACAAACAACAAGCGCTACTCTACACTGCTCAAAACTCACGTTTGAATCGTCAATGGCAAATTCTTTAAATATAAAAGACGTACTTACAAGCTGTGAGTCAGTAGCGCCAGACTGTCCTTGCAAAGTTGGAACTGCCCCACTTTATAGAAACAGTCTTTGTGCACAGATGCATTGTAGGCTACTCTGCAGGTTCAGGAAACAGTCCTCCATAAAATACGCTGCACACATCTGAATATTTGGGTTGAAGTGTTCTGGAACAGTGTTGTAAATACAACTTAACCACTGATTTCTAGTTGTGTCCTCTTTTGGAAGGCCAAACAAAGTAGTTTCGCTTTCACAACGAAACACACAGCATCATACACAGCGGGCTAGAGTGAGCGGACACTGACAATGCACCAACAGGTAAGACAGGGAAGGTTACTTTTGGTATGAAACAAAGTCTCAGCTTTGAAATTGTCATTTTGTAAGAAATTCAAACAATAAATACCATTTTGTGGCTCTTGTGTTGTGACAGATCACTGTAGCGCCTCAGTTGAAGCAGCATGTGAACCGATCATCTCTTCAGCTTTACTAGTTATTAGGGTTGGGCGATGTCTACCAAATTGGCATCGGATGATGTCTACAGTGAAACATTGTGATGGATGATGACATCGGGGAGGGGCGCGGGAAGGGGTGTGCCCGAAGTGTGAATCTGTATTCAGAAAGGCACGGAAAACAAATAATGCGTTCTACGGAGTCACTAAAGGGACATGGTTAGCCGCTTGCTTGCGGTAGCCTGTTACATTACAGTACATTAAAGTTCACTTACCACATAAACAGAGTAAGGAGAGATGACTGATAGGATGATGGCGAATGATTTGCAGATCCTGAGCACCACTGACAAGCATCTAATCTTGTAAAATGTGTGGTAAGTACTGCCGCTCTGTAGTACACACAGAGTACGTGTGATCGCGAATCTCAAAAGTTAAAGTAAAAAGCGATCATGCACTCAAAAGCAGTTTCAATACCCCGCATATTAATAGCGGCTCCCTGATGCCCGCAATTTATATACAGTATAATTACCCAATGATATAACTGTGAGAGAAAGTATTCAAATATATACTTTCCTCCCATCTCGTATTTATTCCGTAGTACCATCGGCGATGGATGAAGGCATCGTCTATTGGCCCAACGCTACTAGTTATAGCACGAAATAAACATGAATAAACATCAGAAGGTATCTTGTTTCAACCGCAGAAAGATGTCAATACACACCATTTTTCAATTTCAAGTCCACCTACGTTATGCTTTCCGGTCTGGTTTATTTGTCGGACAAAATGGCAGATTTGGAGTTATGTCAATCAAACTCCCTGCGAAGGGTCAATTGACCGTTCGCAAAGACCTGCCCTCCTTAGTTACTATTGCTATCTCCGACAAACAATGAAAAATAGAGTGAAAAATACATTGCAGAGCAAAGAGGAAACTGACAACACACCGACAGACAAGACAGAGCAGGTTACTTCTGATATGAGAGAAGGTCTCAGGACTCTTAGCTTTCAAATTTGGTCATTTTTAAAGAAATTCAAACAATAAATACCGTTTTGTGGCTCTTTAATTACAGATCACTGTATTGCCTCAGTTAAAGCGGCACTTGAACCGATCATCTTTTCATATTTACTTAAAGCACGAAATGAACATGAATGAACATCAGAATGTATTTTATTTCAACAGCGGAACACACCATTTTTCAAGTTTAAGTCCACCAAACGTAATCTACTCTCCTGTCTGATTTGTGGTTGGGATACAGCTGCGGCTCCTGGGCATGCACACATCAATATAGCATATTATTTGTCACACTGTATAATAATAATTACTGTTTTTGTATTATTGTTTAGGGTTGGGATAGGTGTAGACGTAAATAAAACACAATCTAATAGGTAGGAAATGTAATTTATTGTTAGTTTCCGGCCGTAGCTGTCGGACAAGATGGCGGATTCAGTGTTATGATTGGTCAGATAGCCTGTCAGTCAAGCTCTTTGTGAACCGTCAATTGAACTACATACCAGTCAAAAGTGAATGGTTGATATCTGAAGCATTTTGTTACAATTAACAATGAGATAGTGACTGCTAGTGAAGGAGTATAGTTAATAGTGAAATTTCAAATACTGGCAATTAAACAATTCCTAGCAACAAAAATAGGTAGCTGAATACATGTAAAACGGCTTGCCATACACGGTCTCGCCATGCAAATGAGCCGCGCTCAGCCTTTAGCGGCTGCCCATGTGGACAGACACCATGCCTTGTTGTTCTCCACGCCCATTGGTTCCCTCTCATCGACATGTTTTAATCATGTGCTAATGTACTGCAGGGTAGGGCTACCGCGAAAACCCGGAACATGGAGACCGTAGACATTTCGCACTATTTCCTCCTTTTATGCTCTAATAAGCGACCGGAAACAAGTTTACACAGATTCTATTGTGTCATATAAATCTCACCATTAAGTCTTGATCATTTATATAAACATTTCAATCTCATTTATGAGATTACGTTCGGTTTAGAGTCCCGATCCTGTCGCTTAGCATGACAGCGTGTTCTGCCCTACTTTTTAATCACTGGTAGTATGTGGGAGGAGTAGCACCGACGAGGGCGGACCTTGCACTGTATGCCTTTCGACTTGTTGTGTTTTCTGTTACTCCAATCGCCATCTTGTTGCCAGTTAAGTAATGTGTTTCTGATGAATTTCGGGAGCGCCCTGGATGTTTTATGACTGTCTTTGGAAGCCAGTGGATTATATTGTGATTTAACCCACACATATATCTGTACCGGGGGCTTGCATACATTTTTTAACGGGAACGTATTGTATCGGTGTTCAAAATGAGTATCGATACTCTATTGGAAGCGGCCAGGTATTTGGAGTGGCAAGCCCAGCAACAACAGATTACACGTGGTAAGGCGGGGGGGACTGGGTGATTGCATAGATCTATGGGATAAATTAGATATGTATGAACTAACTGGGATTTTACCCAGCAAATTGCATTTCCATGCCAGCACACTTCAAGATAAATAGCTACAGTTTTATTTTTTCGCTGCCTCTAATGGATCACACAAGAGGTTGTGATCAGACAGTAATTTCGGAGATTTATGGCATCAGGTGCGGAGTGTGTATTTGCATTTTTTTTTTTCAGGGGATTTACAGCACAGTTATTTCTGCTCATTTGGTGTTAAATTGGCATAGCAACCACAGCCATTCAGGTAAACAGAGATTTTACTTTTAGCCTGTCACACATACAAACATATTTATAACTCTAAATAAAAATAAATATACTGTGGCATCCATAGTGTTATTTCTATTAAAATACTATTGTTTCTACAGCTTATAATTATAACAAAACCCTAATAAATGAATAAGGGAACTCCAAATTTCAATGTGTTTTATTTATTTATTTATTTATTTTAGTAGTTAACAAGAAGTTACTACGGTATTTAGTGGAAACTATGGTTACTATTGCAAATGTTCGTGAGTGACGTATTAAAATTAAATATATACATTGGTGAAATAAAAAAAGGTGTATGTTTTAGTAGACTGTTCAGTAATACTTTTATTAAAGGGCTTGAATATTGCTATTATTGCTATTTTTTAATATTGATTGGGTAATTGAAAAACATAATTTTTCACTTGAATATTATATAAAATATGAATTTAATGTGAATAAATAATTATTATATTACTGTTTTGAAGTAAAAAGATGGATCAATTTGTGTGTGTGATTTGATAATTCATGAATCCAAGGTAATTGTTTAAATTATTATTACATGGGGAAATTTTTTTTTTTTTAAAAAAAAAAAAAAAAAATTGTAAATCGCTGAGCTTTTTATTTTAAGCATTGCGAAAAAGAGCTCTTTGTCTCAGTAGTAATGTCCAGTGGTTTGCACTGTTTGTAGGATGCAGTCTTCGTGACTAGGGCATATTTCGCTCACTCGGTTTCCGGGTTAAATCCATGCTATATTTAGTGTGCTACTATACTGGCTCAATAGCTCTGCGGTGGGTGGGTACATTTACCCCGACAGATCCTAGTACATGGCGTGTCGTATTTTTGTCAGACACATAAAGTTACACGTTTATGCACTTATATTGGCTGGGTAGAATTCTTAAAATTATAACAACCATTTTTTTACCGACCAGTTAATTTATAAACAGGTTAGCTGAAAGTGGCGAACGTCGTGTTTCTTATCCGTTGGGCGGTGGCAATAGACCAAAGGTTTTTTTTTTTCTACATAATGACATTGCTGAGTGGTTATCTCACTCATGACTTTCAAGACACTGTGATTTCCCATCACAACTTATTCGTTATTAGCTGCTTACTCGTTTTTTGTTTGTTTTCGCACCTTGAATACGCAGAAATTCCATAAAACAGACATTGTAAGATTTTACTGGCGATTTATATGTCGCTTTAAACAGAGCGTGGGGCTTTTTGTTTCATTCTCGAGGTGACGTGTCAGTAAAGCCACACCCACACCAAATACCGCGTGCTGAAAGTCCGCCCTCTTCAGCCACGTGCGCGCCAGACACCAACCCCCGCCCCCCTCCTTCTCTCCCAGGTCACAACTGGGGAGAAAATAGGGCAACGCCACCCTCCCTCAATGCAGTTATATAATGTGCATTTTTCATGCATCGCTAAGTAAAAGCTTGACAGACTGATTTACTCTTTTGCAGACTATTTAAATTTGGGAATACAGATAAAAAGGCTGTGCAACAATAAGTGCAGTTGGCATATTTTTGAACATTTCTGCAAGGTCTTTCTCTTTAAAGGCTCGATTCAAATGTGCAGACTTTGCATACACTTACACAATCTTTGACCTTGTACTAGATCTATAAAATTGCATGTAAGCTCAAATGTGCTGTATCAAAAGAGAGGCTTTATGTTAAAGGAAGTGAGAATGATACCCCATGTTTATAAAAAAAAATGCATTTATTTGCATAAGCAGGGAGAATTTTCTTTTGCTTTTTATACTGTCAAACCTGGTTAAGCTTTCACTTACTGTTTGAGCTTTGTGAACTAGTGTCTGTGACAGACACTAAATATACTGAGTGTTAATGAAGACGTGAAAGGTTCTTAACTAATTGTCCAGACCTAATTATTTGTTCTGCTTCCCAAGCTGCTCATAATTATACAAGAGCCTTATACCAGCCAGCACACTTGCTTATCTTAGAGTAACACAGTCATAAATAGGTTAGTTTAATAAGTTGGTTGTTAAATGAAATGTCATGTTTGCATTTGATTTTATTGTTCAAAATGAATGAATGTCATTGCTTTTTATGCAAGCACAGTTTTATACGAGCAAAGCCTCTTAAAATCTTTTGTGCTGTTCTTGTCTAGTGGGTCGTGATTTCCACGTTAGCCTGTGAAAATGGAATGGAATTTTTGCTGTATGCTAGACGACATGAGGAAACTTCATTAGAAGGTTCCTTTGTCCCATTTACGCAGTGCCGTGTTGATAATGCACACTCTTAAAGCCTACGGACCAACATAGTATATCCTCAAGAGCTTTACATGCTTATTTATGGAGAGCAATAGATGGCACTCTCATGAGCTGTTTAGAGCTTATTAGCCTGGCTGTATAATATATGCACAATGACACAGTAGTGTTTGGGATTCCATTCCTAACATGCTATTCATTTCTTTGTACGCATTTAAATGTCAAGAGAAATGGCATTTTGGTATGTACTTGTCATCTCCTGTTATATAGTGGAGAAATATGCAAGCACTGAAAATATTGATCCCAGCATTCGGTGCTTCTGAGAATGTGTTTCACAGTCAATATTATTCTTCCTGCTGATGCAGGAGGATTCCCGCATGTCGTGGTTTGAACTGTATAGGAATGCTTTGCATCAGGTCACCCCTTTGTCTGCAGCATGCTCACATTCGCAAGATGCAGTTTCTCCTGCACAGGAATGTATTGCGGTGCAAATGACACTTTTGGCTCAAAGACGCTTTGAACAGCAGCCAGAAACCCCCTGTATTAAAATTCAAACATCGATCTGAAGTCACAACTTAGATGCAACTGAATATGGATCGACGGGCTAAACAATAGATCTGTCCATCAGTCATGGAAATTGTTGGATGGTGGGGGCATTTTAGCCTGCAGATGGTACGGCCCGGCCTCAGATTGCCCACGCCAGCTCTTGGCTTTTCGTGCAGACTGCTGTGTGACGTCAGCGTAGAGCTGGAGACAAGGCAAGACTCTTTCAGGGGCTTCTCTCTTAAAGAGACAGACCACGCAGGACAGCTAGCTCACACCCCACCCTAATTGGAGTCATGATTTACTGCTCCCTGCACTGGCTTTTCTTGTTTAAAATGAAAACTATAGCTACACTGCAGGTTTTATGAATTTCACACACTGTCTTGATGTATTAAATTACTCTGTTAGTCTGCAGCTTCTCATTATTAATTTACACTTCACAGCCATGAGCGCTTCTTTGTCAGAGCCTAGAAAAGCACTAATTATTTCCATTACTGATCTATAAATTTGTGTTGATCTGTAGTATTGTTGCTGGTATTCATTAGCTATGGTTATAGTTTAGTTGACTTCTTTCACATTTTTTTTTATTATTATAATTTTTTATTATTCTTTTTGTACAAACAGAGCAATGCCATTATAGCTAGATAATAAATAGTAAATAACTCTTTGAAATCTGTGCTGTGAATATTTATTTTAGTTTTATAAAATATATTTCAGTCTGAGGGAAACTAATCACCTGTACAAATACATTTTTCTGTTGTATTATATTTTGACAGTCATTGCTTATGGTTTATATAACTTATATTTTCAATGGCCAATTGAATGTTGAATTTTGAACATTGACATGATACAATTTGATTGCAGCAAATTAGATTTTGTTTAATCTCAGAAATTTTGTGTAGAAGTATTTCACATAATATTTACGTAAATCACAAAAAATTATAAATAGTTTTTGATTTATTTGCATGGGTGTCGTAGATTTTTGGACTGACACAAGGGCTTTTTGGTCATTTGAAAACGTTGAAATTGGCCAATAATCACTATAACTCTGGTTTATAAAGTGAATTAAGTTCTCTTTGGCAAGCTGTTTCGAACTCCTGACAACTAAACAAATTTAGTTTTGGCTTGATTTTGTTCAAAAAGAAGTCACACCAGGGGCCCGTTCGTCATACGTCGCTAACTCAGTTAGCTGGATTTGATTGTTGACGATTTGGCCTGATCTTGGATTGTTTGGTTCTTCGAAGCTCATCCCGGAGTTGCTGTCATAGCAACAGGTCCGTAAGCTTAAACCTGCTCGGGAGCAGGCTTATTTCATGTAAACAGGATTAGATTGCATCTTCTTAAGCAGAATTGATACTTAAAATCTGTCCGCTACCACCGCTACTTTATTACAAGAGTACCCTACTAATCCAGGGACAATAATTTAAAATAATAATCATTTAAAGATAATATAATAATGTTGTGTAGTCTTTAATACTATAGACACAGCCAGTTTTACTCACTGAAAGATTTATTCGTCATAAAATTATTACTTTATAATTGTATTCGAGTCTTACACACATGCTATATAGATAATGTAGAGTCGTGCATTAATTTGAGTGCTGACAGCTATTATGGGAGTGGCTTGGTGGAGCGCAGGAGATGCAGATAACATGATCTTGACCCTTAAGAAACTTTAATTAATGCTGTCACGTAACAAATCTGTTCAAATATAAAATTAAATGAATTGCTAATTACTACATTGAAATAAAAGTGTAAAGCCTGTACAAATATTAGAAATCGTGAATATAAATAATTGGGAATCATGTAAAAAATAAAATAAAAACAGTGCACATTTCATTTATCTATTATAAGATTTATGTAGTTTTGTTCGCTTGGCTGTTTCCTTATAAAAGTCCAAAAATTTGTCAAGTTTTTCGTCAGGTGTCTTTTTTAATTATATGATGTCATTACGTTGCTGTCTTGCCGCCAGCCAATCGCTGCATTGCTGATCGTGGTTTCGAGTATCGATACATAGCCCCTTTTAAACCAACCCATGAACGCGCAATTATCTCAGATAACTCAATCCAGCCATACTGATCATCAACAACAGCTGCGTTCAAAGAACCGAATTAGCCAGATCCTGATTAGCGCGATGATATCATCTTGGATGTGAGGTTTCATCTCGGATGTTATAAGCGACGTACGAAGAACGGGCCCCAGTTCTTTGCTTTTGAATCTGCTGTGAATTTATGTGAGAAATCAGAATACCTCAAAAAACTGTTTGTGAATAGAGCAGCATTTCCATCTCTCTCACTAGAATCTCCAGTTAGAGTCGAGAAGAAAATAAGTGTTTCCATTGAAGCTGCAAATGTAATTTTATGCTATAAATCAGAGAACTACAAAAACTGTGCGGCTCAAGCAGTGTTTCTGTCTCTTTCTGATTAGAATCTCCAGTGAGAGAATAGTAAGTTTCCATTTAAGCTGCAAATTTAATTTATGCAACAGATACTGCAAAACTGTTTGCAGCGTTTCCATCCCATGTGTTCAAGAGAACAAAATGGTCACTTCTAAGGAAATTGCAAAATATAAACGAAAACAGAAGCTGTAGGCTTTTTATTTTATTTTTTATTAAATGTAATAAATAAGTTGCTGTTCAGAATGTGCAAACACAAATGCTCTGACAATCTTCAGACAGTTCTAAAGGATAAAAGTAACCAATCAGGAGTGAATTAATCAGTCACACGCACTTTTTTAATGAGCATCTGGGAATGTATTCTGTAAATGTGTTTCCAGTAGTTTATGTATTAAAAATGTAATGCGTACTTTTTTTCTTGCACATTTTGGAATATGTATTCACATTTCATGGTGTTTCCATCCAGCATTTTTCATACAGCACACCAAATTTAAATATACAGTGTATTATTCTCAAATAGCATTTCCAAGTTGTAGCTTTCATTTCATCTGTCTTTGTGCATAACGTTCATTTTATTCTGTTTTTTTTCTCTACAGAGGAGGAGGAGCGGCGAGAGAAGGCCTTGCTGTCCCGTGAGGCGGAGCAGAAGTTCTCCACCCCCATTATCCAGTCTGTCCTAGTTAACCATGTGACCTGGGCCGACAACATGCG